TGATACTCAGTCCAGTCAGCACTCTTGACTTGATCTCATTCCTGAAATTCATGTTTGGCTTTTGTCTCATGTTAAAGCAAAAGATGATTAGAACTTAATCGGTGATTAAATAAAAATATATATCCTGCAAATTATACTGACCTCTTTGGGAAGGGAGGAAAAAAACAAAGGCATTTGTTTCCAGGGTGAGCTGTGTTCAGTTGTGTTAAACTGTCTAGTAAATGTTAATTCAAATATTACATTTTATTCTGGGATATATTTGTGTCTTGGGTAGTGTTTGTTTATTTTTCTTCGTTTTTGTTTTCAGTAATTCTGAACCTTCGCAGCATAACAGTGAAGGAGCAGATAATTCAAGGGATGACTCGAGCAGCCATAGTGGATCTGAAAGCAGTTCAGGATCTGACTCTGAAAGTGAAAGCAGTTCCAGTGATAGTGAAGCTAATGAACCATCACAGAGTGCATCCCCCGAGGTAGGATTTGACATGTATTTGGGCTGTCTTCATTAGCTTGGCATTGATCCTGAGTTTTAAAAGCAGGAAAAAAAAAAAAAAATTATCAAACTTCTGTGTTGGTTTTTTTTTAAAAAAAAAGAAAAAAGATTGACAAACATGGGATCACTTTCAAGATTGAATTTTCTTTTACTGAAAGTACCTGTAATTAGATGTTGTAACAATTCTTTATATAAGCACACATTTGCTGTTTGACTTTGAGGTGATTTTTACCACCAGTCATCTATTGGAGCGCAGAAATCAGATATAGTAACAATAGCTTAAAAAACTGTGGACTTTTATTCTGGAAAGCTGTGGCAGCAAGTATTGCCTGTTGATAGCAGCTGCTCCAGGTGAAGGAAAAATGAGAGCTGTTCATTGTTATCTATATTCATCAATCTCTATTTCATTCGTTACTTATCTCAGGTTTTTGGGTCAACCTCTTTCTTTGGCATGCAGCATAGTGCTGGAATCCAGCACTGGCATCCAGCTGTTCTGTCTAACGCTATTTTTAAATTTGTTTTTAGCCGGAGCCGCCACCAACAAACAAGTGGCAACTGGATAACTGGTTGAACAAAGTTAATTCACATAAAGTGTCACCAGCTTCTTCTGTGGACAGCAATATCCCCTCCTCCCAAGGCTACAAAAAAGAGGGACGGGATCAGGGGACAGGGAGTGGGTACCCTGATCAAAGTGGATCCAAGGATTCCATTTCTTCTACACCAGGGCGAGATTCCAAACCCACCCAAAAGGGCTCGGAGAGCAGTCGCGGCAGGCAGAAATCACCTGCCCAGAGTGACAGCTCAACCCAGAGGAGGACTGTAGGTAAAAAGCAGCCCAAGAAAGCAGAAAAGACATCTGTTGAAGAGCCCAGAGGAGGCCTTAAAATAGAAAGTGAAACCCCAGTAGACATGGCAACAAATATACCTTCAAACAGGCACAAGGCAGCCACAAAAGGCTCCAGGAAACCCAATATAAAGAAAGAGCCCAAATCTTCCCCTCGGCCTACCACAGAGAAAAAGAAATACAAGGCTTCAAGCAAATCTGCCCAGAAATCCAGGGAATTCATAGAAACAGATACCTCATCCTCTGATTCAGATGAAAATGAGAGCCTGCCTCCTTCATCACAAACACCCAAATACTCTGAGAGCAATAGGACTCCTGTTAAATCTTCCATGGAGGAGGATGACAGCTTTTTTCGGCAAAGAATGTTCTCTCCTATGGAAGAGAAAGAGCTTCTTTCCCCACTCAGTGATCCTGATGAAAGGTACCCACTTATTGTGAAGATTGACCTGAGCCTCTTATCACGAATACCAGGGAAGCCTTACAAGGATGCTGACGCACCCAAAGTGGAAAAGAAAAACGTGCCGGAGAAGCACGCGAGAGAATCCCAGAAGCAGCCGTCTGACAAAAGTTCTACGAAAGGCAAAAGGAAACATAAGCAGGTGATAATTTTCTAGACAGAGATTTACCTGTTGTCTCAGCCCTTAGTGGGTTGCTACTGGTGTCAAGCGTGTAGCCCAGCAAGCCAGATCATACCTCACTGCAGTGACTGAGCAATTTAGGAGATGACTTTGACTGTTTTGCCTAGAACACGGTGATCATCCCTGTGCTGTTATAGTAGAGACTGTTGGGATTTCCTTTTGGAGCAAAGAGGGGAAGGGAGAAGGTTGCACCTGTGTTAGCACTGTAGCTAAAGCTCATGGAGGCAGCACAGCTTCTGTGCCTCTGAGCACCGCGTCCTGCCCTCTCATGCCTCCACTTGATCTGGCACCTGCCCCCGTTGCACTGCAGGCCAGATGAGGCAGCTGATCCAATGGAAAATTCACCTGGCCAGGAAAAAAAAAACTAGTTTTCAATTAGATCAGCTCCTTGAACCGGTGAATCATGCGATTGCATATTGGCAGGAAAAGGGATGGGGCATGGCAGCAGCAGAAACCATAATCTCAGGGTGCTGCTTCACTGGGAGCACAGGGATCTCTCCATAATGATATTTAATCTTTTCCAAAAAAGCATTTCATCTTTTTAACTATGAATAAAAAGCAGGAATGTCTGGGGGCAGTAAAATGGCCAGGAAGCAATGGGGGAGCTGAATAGGAGTAATACTCTTGGAGGAGGGAACGGTAAGAAGTGGTTGGTGTAATTTGGAACTGCTTTTGGAAAGCTCAGAGCTTAGGCAGTCTGCGACTGCCACATGGACTCAGTGATCCAGTGAGTTTCCGTGAATTTTTGGTTTCCGTGAAGTTAGGACTGTGAAGCCCTGGTTCAGGGGTTCAGAAATTGCCGTGCTGCTCTGGATTTCATTTTGACAGGGATTTGGCAGCGGCTGTTAGACTTTGTTGACACGTGGAATCAAAAGATTATATGCTGTCACTCAGGGAGTCGTTTGATGCTCCAGAGGAGATGGGTAATTTCAGTTAAACCAGTTTTCCTGAAAACAAGTAAACTTGGTCGCTTACTGGAATTAGTGTCCTCTAGACTTGGCGTGTAACTGCAAACAGAGGTTTCTCCTACACTGTTCCTAAGATTCCTGTTTGCTCTGCATAAGGAAATGAAGTGAGAAAGTAAAAGTATTTTTTGTAAAATGGGAATCACTCTGACCAGTACAGTGATTAATTATTTTTTGCATGTGTTACTGTATAATACCTAATGTTCCTGGGGCTGCACTCACATGCTCCAGTGGCCCTGAATGCACTGACTTCTGTTTCTTTGACCAGTTATGCCTTTCAGTACACATTTGGAGGTACAGCATTAAAGATCTGTGCTCTTACACCTAAACCAGAAAGCTTTGGTAGGACCAGTTAAATTTAGGCTTTATCCTAGCAAATAATCTGGTTGTTAATTGGTTTGAATCCTCAGATTACTTTGATGCTCACGGGTCCATACTGGAGAAGAGCCTGTTTGAGGCAACGAAGGAAAAACCCACCCTTTCCCCTCACCCCTCCAGTGTTTTTGGTTTGAGTGCTCCCTGCACAGCTGTCACCACCTGATTTCTACATGTTGTTTGCTCATGTGTTTCCTTGATTGTAAGGCTCAGAGTTGCAGCATCGGCGTAACAAAAATGAAACCTTTTGGGTTTGAATCTGGGTTATGTTACCAGGGGATTTATTCTGTGAGGCCCTATTTTCCATTTTATTCCCTGTAGTGGTACTTCCAGTGCTGGCTGAAGACACCTTAGAAATTTGTCTTCAAGACCTTTGACTTTAGGATTAAATTTATGCAAAAATCTAGTCTTCAAGATCTCTGAGCTTACTTTAATAGACTGCAAGACTTCTGCATTTTTTTGGTGTTCATAAGACACCTCTGTTAGGCTCCACAACATAAAATCTGTCTCCTGATCTCTTATTGAAGCCTTCGGCTGATTTTTCTGGTGTTTCATGGTGGTAGTATGTTTGTGCTAAAATAAACGACTTAGCTGCTGCTTCTTTTATGCAGGTTGGTAATTTAGAAGCCAGACTTTGTTTTTTGTTGTGTTCTAGTACCAGGGTCTGGTCAAATATTGGATATGGACTAGATGCTGTAGGGCGTGTTTGTGTGGTCTGTACATATCTTCCTCTGTACACAGCAAAACATCTGCTAAATTAGGTCTCTTTTTGTGAAACATTGCCGCTCATAGTGAAGCTGTAAATGTGGACGTTTGCCTGGATGTATTTCTTGTTTGCTTTATTCAGAATGAGGATGAAAGCAGAGCCAGTGAAAGCAAGAAAACGAAACTGGAAGAAAAAGCTCCGTCAGGACACAAGACTTCCAGCAGTAGGGAGTGAGTATCTTGTCTGTGTTTTCAACGCTGAAGGCTCAAGGTGGTCAAGGAGAAGATGGGTGCCTGTCTTCCCCCCTCTTCTCTCCCCTCCCCAAGTGTTTCCTCATCATTAGTCAGTGGGTAAAATTTCATTATTTCTTATCCTTCAGATGGATTTACTTCAGAGTTCCTACTAGTAGTTGGTGGAAATTAATTTCCATAACCAAAAACATTGGCCAAGGACAATTGTTTTACTTAACAGAAGTGAGGTAACCCCTCATGTGAAGGGTTGGTGTGCTGTGGAATACGTGCTCCCTGGTTTTTCTCCAATATACATGGGGTTTGGTTTCGTTTTAGAAATCAGCTGTGCATCTTGCTTTTTGATCTTGCAAAATTTGTGCTTTTTGATCTTGCAAAATCTGTGCTTTTAAATTAACCCAATCTGGTAATTCTCCACTTAGCAAGTTTGTCACCTGCAAATAAATTACTCAACTGGCATTGTCCGGGAAGCTGGTGGCTCTGAGGTTTGGCTCCATGGATTTAGCCTCATGTTTGCTTGATAGATTAGCTGAAGAAAAGCGTGAGTGACACAAAAGCAAAGTAATACAGAATTAGCAATCAATAACATTGTTTAATACAGAATATTTCTGTAATTTTCCATTCTTTCTATAATAGCTATTGTGCTTTTATTTGGTTTATTTCTCGGTCAGTGTTAATCTACAGGAAAGAGCAAGGTTTTTTTTTTTCCACTGCCTTATAAACCTCTGCTATTTCAGATCAAACAACTGAAAACTGGTATAATTGTTTCATGGAAAATGTTTCTGTATAGTGAGTAATTGCCAAATTCCGAACGTGTGAGAAGCTGCAGCCCATCAGATGCTGGAAATCTTGTTTGCCCATTCCGAATTAAACCGCGTCTTACTGTTTGTTGGGAAACAGATGTAGAACGAGCAGATGCATTTCTGTCTCGATGATGCTTTTTTTACCCATTATTTCTGACATTTGCTTGATTGCCAGTGCAATTATCTGCAAGATACTTAGTTAAATGAAACTGTATGACTTTATAAAAGTAATGTGTAGAAATAATTATTATGGGAAGCCAGGACTAGCCAGCAGTAGCCCTCAGCAGCCGAGGTAAGATTGTACTGAGAGGCTTTGGTGAGAAAGCTTTCCAGTTTCCCGGGCTCCAGAGAACATTTATCTGGACCATCTTTTTTCTGAGCTGTCAGGCTGACTAGTCTGCAACAGACAGGCTGGCGCTAACATTGGCATTAATTTCTTACACTGTCAGTGCTGAGGGTGTTTTTTTAAGAACGGTTGTAGGGATGTGGTTTTATGGTTAGAACTTGCCTACTGTGTTTTCAGGTCAGAACAAATAAAATGGTGAAAACGAGTTCAATCTGGCTTCACAGAAACCTAGTCACTGAGATGGTTATTCTCTTTTTTTTTTTCTTCCATATTTTTTTTGCAACGTCTAACAACAAAAGTCTTGTTTATGGAAAAAAAAAAAGTTTTTTAATGAAAAAAAATGTGGTGTTGGGTTTTTTGGGATTTGTTTGGTTTTGTTTTTTAAGGAAAAAAACTAAAACCTGAATTTGTTCGTTTTGTCCAGGTCTTCAAAGCCAAGTGCTGTTAAAGAGAAGGATTTACTGCCCTCTCCTGCTGCGCCAGTCCTGCAGAAGGATTCCAAGCAGGAGCACGGGTCCCGGAAGAGGACGGTCAGTCAGTCGTCGTCCCTAAAGTCCAGCAGCAACCTCAGCAAGGAGAGCAGCAGCAGCAGTAAAAGCAGCTCATCTTCCAAACAAAAGAAGACAGAGGGGAAAAGTTCCAGCAGTGCTAAAGAAGCCAAGGTAAAGGGCTGCTTCTGTAAATGCCTTAAGCCTGTTCCTTTGCAGTCTGACAGGTTCGGTGTGATCGAAACACTAATTTGCAATTCAAATTAAAATGTAATTAATGTTAGATACGCATTGTTTCATGTCATAGTGCCTAAGGACCCTGGAAGTCTATAAATTAGAAAACAACTTGGAATTGTGGAATGCTAATGGTTATTCCTACCAGATTCCTGTGTTAGTTAGTGAAATGTGTTTGGTCATCTTCTGATTACTGATGCTGCTTATTTGTTGTTTAATTTGCTAAGAAGAAATGTCACTAGAAAGCTGTTTACACAACGGTAAATGGAACAATGAGGTTAATCTTCTCTCATTGGAGCAGATACAGATCTTGGCCTGATTTTTAAGGAGAGCAGGAGCTCGGTTGACGCTCAGTGCTAGGACACAAAGCTATAGCTCTCGTTTTGTGACATTGTAGGTCTGCAGAAAGATTGTTTTAATTCCAGCTCAAGAATGTACAGCACACTCTGTGGTTGGACTGGAGAAAACACTGTTATAAATCATAGAATGGTTAGAGTTGGAAGGGACCTCAAAGATCATCTATTTCCAACCCCCCTGCCATGGGCAAGATGGTGCAAAAATGGGTTTTAAGAGATTTAGGTTAGAAACGTATTTAGATGGTGGAATTTAAAAATATTATAGGAGGATGATACTCTAAAGTCATTAAATTGTAATGTGCTTTTTCATCAGTATATAAACGTGTATTACTGGTCAGAAATTAGCCTGTGAGGACATGGCAAGCGTGTTGTTGAACACCTGTGATGAGCAGTTTCTGTTGTACAGCCAGTTGTTGAGCACAGTGTGTGTAACTGGGAGGGATTTCACCTTTGCCTTTGTGATTCCGACGTGTGCTGCAGGTGCCAGCGCGGCTGTTTCCAAAGCCTCCACGGGCTGTGGAAACTCCAGCAGTTTAAGCAACTGCTAAACCTCAGCAGCTGGATTTGCAGTCTCTGAAAAGCGTAGAGGCAAAGTCTGAAAACGTTCAGCAAGGGTAGTGGATTCGAGGAGGAGTAAAGCAGCAAACAGGCATTAGCAATGGCAGAAAGTAACTGAGTCATCAGGGTGGAGCTGGTTAATAGCTGAACTGGGAGACAAGCTGTGTTACTTCAGATGCCAGTTCCATGAGATTTCGGAAGCCTGGCAGGGCTGCGTGTGTCGGTGGCTGTGTAAGATGCTTCCAGGAGGGGCAGATATTGAATTTACCTTAGACACTGGGCTTTGCCCTTTATTCGTCAACGTGGAAATGTCTCTAAGCCAGGTGTTAATTTGTGAGATGTTCATCGTTTTATGCCTCAGATATGCTTAGTCATGCCTTCCTTGCAGCAATGTGTACTCTTGCTGCATTGCACTGCATGTTTCGTTACTGTTTCTACGTTAATACGTTGCTGAGTAAATCTGCGACTGCAGGATCCTTCTGATTAGCAGTAATCTGATAAAAGTAGGTTGTGAAACACATCTGAATAGATGGCCTTTAGTCATGATAAATTGAGAGAGGGAAAATTCATACAGAGCTGGGGAGTTATAGAATCATAGAATCATAGAATGGTTTGGGTTGGAAGGGACCTCAAAGATCATCCGGTTCCAACCCCCCTGCCATGGGCAGGGACACCCTCCACTACACCAGGTTGCCCAAAGCCCCATCCAACCTGGCCTGGAACACTGCCAGGGATGGGGCAGCCACAGCTTCTCTGGGCAACCTGTTCCACTGCCTCACCACTCTGAGTGAAAAATTTCTTTCTTATATCTAACCTAAATCTCCCCTCTTTCAGTTCAAATCTATTGCCCCTTGTCCTATCACTACACACCCTTGTAAAAAGTCCCTCTCCAGCTTTCCTGTAGGCCCCCGTTAGTACTGGAAAGCTGCTAAGTATAAGCTGCTAAGTATAGAGTTGTTCTATACTGTTTAGCTACTAAGAACAGATTCACTTACAGCTCACAGAATGTTTCTAGTTACTGGTCTTTAGCCTGAAGTGTCGTGCTGAGCCGTGTATAATTTAGGAGAGCAAGGACAGTGTGTTGTGAAGACAGCTATCTTTTCTCCCTGAAGATGACAACTTTTCCTTCCAAAATACTTTTTTTTTTTTTTCCCAAGGCAAAAGCATTCAGCAGAGTGTATTGTTGAGAGAAATGAGAAATGATAAAAATATTCATTATCTCTTTGTTAGAGTGAAAAAACAGGACTCGGTGGCATGGGAGATCTCAGGGAGGGATTTCCTGGACGCAGGTGTGTCTAGAAAGCCTCAGCTGGGTTCTTCTCTCTGATGGAAACCTGATGTAGAGTGAGGACCTTGATTATAGCCTGTGTCTTCCTCTGTGCCAGCGTGAGGTGAAAGCCTCCTGGAAGCTGTGTTACTGTCCGTGGTGAACGGCAGCTAAAGCAGCTGCAGAACTGACCTTATTGCCTATAATGTGTGATGTTGTGGAGTAAATTTATACAACAAATGCTTTTCTTGAAGACAGAGAAGATTTAACAGTTCTTTACATGTATTACAGCAATGATTTTCCCTTTCAGGAAAAGATTCTGAACAATTCATCAAACTGCCCTCCTGCGTCTGCTCAGTCTACGGAGAGTTCGAAGTCAAGGAGAGCGAAACTGGTTTTCGATGACAGGTAAGAACAGCAGGAGGTGCCTCTCCCTTTGTGGGGCTGTGAGTGTCGGGGCACAGCCAGCTCCCCACGGAGAAGAGTTGTCGTTCTGCTTCAGGGAGGTGTTGAGTAGGAGCTCACGCTCCGGAGAGCCGCGCGTTGCTCCTGCAGCGATGTGCTGGTCGGAGCGCGCCGCGGAGCGGTCCTGGAGGAGGAGCTGGAGCCTGCCCTGGGCATCCCTGCTGAGCATGAAAGGACCATGCATGGACTTAAATAGCTGATGGCTCCTTTTCACCTTACCAGGACACTGCTCCTGCCTGTCTGCCTGTTCTCAACACGTCCTCTAGAGTCAAGAGTTGTTATCATTGATAGCAGAGAGGAGCCTTCGTTCTGAAATTCCAGGTCCACAAGAGCAGGATTAGGATTTAATCCTGTGTGATCAGAGGAAATATCTTGAAAATAGAACAAAGATTTTACCATCTTGTGCGGACTTAGATTTCACTTGTAGCGATTCAAATCTCAGCACAATGCTCTTAAAGCGTTTCTCTTTGTTGTTCTTTAAATTCACTTTACAGATAAACTGATGTTAATACCAGATGTAAAAGTAACTCCCTGGTTAAGAACTGTTGGGAAGTGGGCAAGCTAGCTGGTCACTGGTTTTCTCCTGATAGTTATTCCTTAAGGGAGGCGGGGGAAGAAAAAAAGTCAAACGAATGTGATGGTTAGAGTGCACTATCAATCATTTAAGACAAAATAGTTTACAGGGATTCTGTCATTATTCCAAGACAAAACAGGGCCAAGAAACTGAGATAAGATCAAACTTTTTAAAAGAATAAAATCTGAATGTGTATTGAAGCATAGGAGGACATAACAAGAGCACCCTCTAAGGAACAGTAATTGTGCTTTGGAATGGTGATATGTTATAACCTTATGGTTATAATTAAGACATTTTAGGGTTTCTTGTGCCTAGCACCGATTGAACTAATTTTGTAGGTATATAATCTTTTTAATATTAACTGTTGCTTTGTAGTGACATCAGTTTCCTGTAAGTGGACTGTTAAAAATGTTGATTTCAAATACCTTTAGTTCTTATACAAGTAAGATAGGATGGATGGGAGAATTTATTTCAAACTTTACTCAACTCATAGGTAATATGTTAATATATTGAAATATATAACTACACTGTTATGATTACCTTCTGCTCATCTAGCTGTGAAAGTCACTTAACATTGATTGTCTGGGGTGGCTAAGCAAAAGTAATTAACACTTGAATGCATATCGATTAGCTTTGCATTATTATCATAATCTCTAAATATTTCACAGCTTCAGTAATGCCAGTCCTAGAGACACTGGATTAATTTGTCCTTAAATTTTGTGGGTTTTTTCCTTCCCCTGCCCCTGTTGTTGGTCAAGTGTTTGGTTCAATTGAGTATCAAATACAACAAATTTAACCAAATCATATGGACTTATCAGCTTGCTTGAAACACTATTTTGAATTACCTGAAACTAGAGAACTGTTTACTTGTTAAATTGTTCTTAACAATTTTATCATACTGTAACTAATTACACTAGTTAACTATTTTAACAGCTTTTTTAACAGTTTTATCATAGCGTAGCTCCAGTAACTTGAGTTAAGCAGAAAAATGTTAAATTTGGCAACATTACGAAACTTCAGTCGTAAAAGGAAATGCAGTAGGGGTGGGGCCAAGTCCGTAAGTTTGTGTCCTCTGTTGCAGGACTTACTCAGCTGATCATTATTTACAAGAAGCAAAGAAGTTAAAACATAATGCAGATGCACTGGTAAGTACATCTCCACCACTTATCCAATGTTTGCCCGTTATACTGGGGTTTGGAATTTTGCTGCCTTTCTGTACTGGAGCTTTCTTGTACTTCCTCTCGTTTTTTGTCCTTAAAAGTTTTTTCCCATCTCCTCAGTCTGACAGGTTTGAGAAGGCTGTGTACTACCTGGATGCTGTAGTGTCGTTCATTGAGTGTGGGAATGCATTGGAGAAAAATGCTCAGGAATCCAAGTCCCCGTTCCCTATGTATTCAGAAACTGTGGAATTAATCAAGTAAGCAATGCAAAGCATATACAGAAGTCAAGTGGGTGGGAAAGAGGGTTGGAAATCAGAGCTTCTAGATTTACTAAAGTTTTGCCACCAGCTTTTGAAATCTCTTACCATTCTCTGGTGAAACTGGATGGCTCGTCCGTTCCAGTTGCTGAGGCTTGAAGTGTTCCATGACGGCCGAGATCCTTTCTGCTAAGGCTCTCGAAGTCTCTCTGCAACACGTAACACAAGAAGCAAAATGACTCCCTTTACTGCCTCATCATGCTGAAGACAGTTGAAAGTCTGACAGTTTCCTGACAGTTTCAAGGCCAGGTTGGACAAGGCCCTGAGCAACCTGATCTAGTTGGAGATATCCCTGTTCCTTGCAGGGGGGTTGGACTAGATGACCTTTGAAGGTCCCTTCCAGCCCTAACCATTCTATGATTCTATGAAATTAGAAATTCATAAGAACTTCAGTGT